TTCAGCCTCCCCTTTCAATTAGTGATGTTACGCTATATGCTTATATCGATAAATGTAACAGATTTAAATAAAACCCTTTAACGGTTTAATACGCTATATTTTAGTTAATTAACTAATATATCGCGATTTATACCGTGTTTTATTTAAATGTGTACTACTCGCGTAAACTATAGACAGTATTTAATATAACAGATATCAAACAGCAAAATCGATGAAAAAGTAAGACGTAAACGTTGAACGGTGAATCTCGTTATAGGCATTTATTTCAAGAACATTATATTTTATATAATAATGTTAGTAGGTCACGCATAAAATGGAAAACAATCCCGGATTTATTAGGGCGGTTTTCATAGAACAATGCTTGTTCTGTAACAATCTATATATTTTGTTTGCCTTCGTAACGCATTGTAAATCAGATTACATATTGTTAAAAACAGAAAACTTGCTTAAGTTCTTATGATCAATATACATGTAAAAATATCCAATGTGTTTAATGTAACGAACATATAATTAGTTTTACACAAGTGAAACACCAACATACTTTTAAACTATATTAAACTGCGATCCGACATTCCGATAGTTGACAATAGCGATCCCATATTAGCTCGCATATTTTAAGTTTAAAACCGTTGGATGTATTTTATATAATAAATATGTCAATATTGTCGATAAAATGGCCGCTAGTCACCATTTTTCTTTTATTTGAGGTTAATAGGTGCAAAGGCAGGCTTTGCCACTGTTAGCATATTAGTGTGTAAGAATTTATATTTTTTTGTAATTCATGAGATATTAGACAAATTAACTTAAATTGTCCTGAAATAAAATCTTTTAGTGAAATATATACAGGAATATATCTGCCACTGAAGAACTAGAAGTATTTCAACAGTAGTAGAATAAATCTAATATAATAATATTTCCGATAATTGTTGCTTCACGGACGAGGTTGCACATGAGTTATCATAATACTTTTACCAAGAGAAATTCAAATATCCCTACCGCAAATATGAACTTAAAAGTTTCGAGCATTAGAAAGTCTAGGAAGACAAATGGTGTTTGCTCTTGAAATTGACTTAGACTTTGATGGTTGCATCTAACGTGAATCCACTTAGCACATAGTTCAAGTTACTATTTTTCACTTTGTGTCTTATAAAAGCAAACACTCTTCTGTTGTCGAACTTTTTGCGTTAAAATATCGGTATAACTTTTTAGGTGACCCGGACGGAATTTCAATATTCCTACCATCCATTTAATAGATTTACAAACGAAGTCTAACACGTTTCTAAAAAATTGATTAGAATCGACTTCACGTTGATAATTAATAGCCATACATTGCTACCATTACACCTACGAAGCTTAAATGTATTCAGTTTTATAATTATTGCCCCATGCCCCAAGTAAACATCATTATGGCATTAAACACTCAACACCCGTGGTGCACCATACCTATATAACATCTAGCGTAATATTACTCAGGAATTATAGGCTTTTATAAGTATCGATAAAAAGCTCAGAGCCATTATTAGAAAAAGCTTCAAAGCACTGGGTAATCGTGCGGCAGTTTTTACAGGTCAGCGACTGATAGACTTAATCGAAGTAATCCATTTAACCCAGACAAGTTGATACTTCAACCACTTTATTTTGAGCTCTACCTACCTTTTTTCTTAACTGAATTACATTTATGTATGGAATAAAAAAACACATCGCAAAGGTAAAAGTTGGTTTAAAAGAGTGACGGATTATAAAAAAAGTTTTTAAACGATATTTTTTCTGTTGTAATGTTGTATTTGTGTCTGTCTTTAAGTTTGCTATGTATGTTTTTTTAAACCAAGATAGGTTTAGAAAACGATACATAGAAAAAAATATTTAAAAACAACCACTTTTACAATTGTGATGTACGAGTTTTTAAAAGGTAAAAGTTAGGTAAGCTGAAATTTGAAAGAAATTAACATCAAGATTTTGAAATAAAAAATCATTTATTTATATATTTATAACTAGCTCTACTTATGAACGTCCACACCATTTGCAAACTAATGGCTCTAAATTTACATTTACTACCAGTTGTCAAATCAAAGACGTAGAACGAAAGAAGGCAGAAAGTGAAATTTTATAAATAAAAAAGGAGAAAAGAATAAAAATATATACAATCCGTAATTAGATTGGATGAAATTCCATTATCTACTTTCTTTTCAATTAAGCAAACGTCCCTTGATTAATCTATAATAGAACAATATAAATCTATCGAAATCTAATTCATTTCCGCGTGCTACCAGAACATAAACAACTTCCCCGTACTTTATCATTGGCTTGATTTATATCGCCAAATTAATTCTACTTGCTACAGTAGGTTGTTTTTGAAGATAAATTAGATTCAGGTTAACTCGAACACTGGAAATGCCTATTATCTCGTCTATATTGTTTTATTACTGTTGAAACATGTGAAATTCTATTTTATTATATAAAATAGAATGCATGGCCAGACACATTTGTATATCTGTTACACTGATCAATTTAAATTAGTCATAGATAGGTAATTCAGACTATTCTAGCTGCTCGGTCAGAACATCGTTTTATTCGAACCTAGGACTTCTCTTGCTAAGCTAGGCAATAAACGCATTAAGCTACGGAAGATTTGCGAAATCCCATTTTACTATATGGGTCATGGGCAGACACATTTGTATATCTGTTTCAACCTAGGACATTTTCTGGCCTTAACTAGCTTGTCAATAAACGAATTAGGCAAAAGAAACGGTCACATAAGATAAAGATTTTATAGTACAAAATAGGGTGATTTATCACATGTTTTTCGACGGGCTCCTTCGCGCAATGGTAGCAACGTACGGTTGATAATGAACGGGTCGTTCTAACTAATTTTTAATTTTTCTAAAACTAGCTGGACTTCATCTGGAAATTTGGATATGAAATAGGTGGTAGGAATACCGATATTCCGATCGCTTCACGAATCACCGTCCACAGCTGAAAAAGCTGTGAAGTTTAACCACGTTTCAGTTTCAGTATGTGGATTTCCGAATACGCAAAGCCAAAAAAGGTCGACAGCGCATCTTGTAGATGCTATAGGCTGAGGTATTTCACCTACCATCAATTGAGCTCCATACTTCTCTGTCCTTCTCTATCATAAAAAAAGGTGGAGTATAATTCCTATTGTGCTTTAAATGTACGTAATTTAAATAAGCTCAGGCGCATGTTTTATTAAAGCGCTTCTATAAAGTTGAAAATTCTACTTAAATTTTCCTACTAGATTACCTTGATGAAAAACCCGCGGTCGCTTTATACCATAATTTTATGTTTCGCGAACACTCAGCGCCTTATTTACGTCGTCTAATTTTCGCACCTTCGGGCTGACGTATAAAGCGTAGGTATGTGTGAACATTTAAAGAGATATAAAGTAAACAAATACACTCAGGAATAACATTTTTATTTTCTCTTACGTGAGAAGACGTTTTTATAGAGCTGTTAAGCTGAACAGTTTACTTGAAGAAGAGAAAATATTTGTGTGTTAGGAGTTTTTCCAGCCCTCGATCTTAGTTAGGACTCGATGCGTAGAATGCCGTTTGGACTTAATTGTAGGTACTGATATCAAACCGTTTTAAAGACAACAAATGTAGATATTTTATAATAACATTTTCATAAGCTATATTATTTAATATTAATAATACTAGTATTTGTACTTAAATAATTTATATCATATTTTAAACCATTTAAGGTCCTTTATTTAAACTCAACATATTTTTAGGTTTTACTTATTTGTCGTACATCTACCTATAATGTTTGAAAACATTAATATTTTTTCACATATTATTGCACATGAAGGCACTATATAATTTAAAAATCGAAAATAAATTGAAAAATTTTCGACTCGGGCGGGACTTGAACCGGCATCGTCAGCGTTCTTGTTCGAGCCGATCGAAATTTTTTCAATTTATTTTCGATTTTTAAATTATCTACCTATAATTCAAAACAATAAACATGGACCGGGTCTAAACAATCTTCTTAACGTTATCAAAATAGTAACTTACTTTAGATGTATATGGGTATTTAAATAAAACACCGTTTTAACGGTTAAACTTATTTAAAAATCGATTTTTAACTTCGGCCCGACGTTTTAAATCATTTACAAATAAGTTTTAACTTCGTCTCGACGTTTTAAACCGTTAAAGTGTTTCATTTAAAGTGTACTACTCGCGTAAACTATAGACCGTATATAGGTATGTTATGTTACATGTGAAGTTCATAGAGAAAATAATTTCGTTAGGTATTTGTATGGCCAACCTCCCGAATAGAACGTGAACATACCATTAAAAATAGTAAGACCACTTATAAAACTCTTTTTCAAAATATAAAACTTTAAACTTCGAATAGCAGATATTGTATAAAAATAAAGGCACGAAGTTTCGCTAACCTTCGTGCCTGTTCTTACCTGTCGATTCGTCTCTGTATCGGTCCCTATATCAGGCCCACATGTGCCTAACTGTTAGCACCTTTGTTAGGTTTATGTAAGGGTTCTCAGCTGGAGGGGTCTTTATACGATGGCGGTTTCCCCTCGCATTACGAGAAAAAGGGATATGTTTTTTCCGTAAATTTATATTTCACTTGGCTGGTTAAGCTCCGGATTCTTAGGTGTAAATGTTTCATGAGTTACCCTTTGATGTTAGTAGTGGTATAATGCTTGGAAAGTTTGAATATAGTTACGTTAAGTCGTAATGCGAAATGCAAATAAGCGAATGTATAGATGTAAAGTTTTGTTTCTAAAAATACTTCGAGAAAATTTCCTTGAAAAAACCAGAAAATTTCATGAAAGAATCACATTTAATTACATTGTTACATGCTTATTTTTCAATACATGATTATGCCTTAAATATACTCCACCTTTAAAATAAATAAATTATATTACATAACACCCCGTGATTCACATCATGAAAATAAAAGTTTATTTACTTTACAGAGTCCTGAAGCCGGAAATGCGCTGACAAGGAATCTTCAAAATGGCCGCCGACGCACTGCTTGTATTGGCGTTGTACTTCGCCTCTGCTACTGCGGCAAATTGTACCACGTAAGTAATATTTCAAATTCTGAAATTCATGTATATTCCTTTGTAAAGTACTTTTTAACAAAACTTTTCCAACACATACACTAATAGACGTAAGATAACAGAAAAAGATGGCGCACATTTATGTATTTATACAATGCTTTATTAAAACAGCATATACCCATTGAATGTAACGTTCAACCCCCTCCCCAACATGTTTCTAATTCATTTATATTTTCTGAAACATGTTGGACTTCGTCTGGAAATCTGGATATTAGATTTTAGGATATTGAGGATATTACCTGTATTCCCGCTCTTGACTCCCAATTAAAAATAAATTAAAGCAATCACTTACCTTATTTTAAAACTTGTTTTTAGTTTTCTTTTTTTATGTCAATTTATTTAAAATTAACGTTAAGTGTTCCTAGTTTTAATTGTAACTATAATACTGTAATTTTGATGCGTCATTGTTTTTCATGATCTAGTTAGTAAGTTATTGTTAAACCTCGATTTTATCGTTGAAACTATTTAAGGGAATATCTGTACTCTATATATATATATTTATATTAATTACTTATAATATGATTCTGTGATATTTTCTGTTTGTTTCGTGTTTTTTTAAATAAATAAGGTAGCAATTGAGACTCCGTCCACAAATACAAGAGCCTTGAAGTTTAAATCGGGTTTCAGTTTCAGTCTGTGGATTTCTAAATATAAAAAGCCAAAATAGGTCGACAATAATTGACTGACTGACTATTTTACGTGCCATCAAGTGAACGCATCCCATGCGCATCAGCTGTCCCCCTTTATCATATAGAGGGATATAAATAGAAGTGTTTGTTGATCAAAGACTGATATTGAGAACTATGAACTAAGTAGTAGGTAAGAGAATTAGTAACTAAGTCACATGTTTCATAAATAACGACACTCCAGCAACAACTGTCCCTGGGATATAGGTTAAAAAACTGTCCCAAATATCATGCCCCCGTCACACGTCACACGACCTTCTCAACTGCACGGCTTAATTTTATGAAAGTGAAAACGTGTCAAGAGCGAGCCGCGTGTAAAGTGTAAACACGTCGGCGGATATGAATGTATCCGGATTTTTAAATTCAAAACTTTTCAGTCGTGTAGTCTGAGGGATGAAACGCTAAAATGAAACCAAAATTTTGACTCACCTTAAAATATTACCAAACGTAGATAACGTAACGTAGAGCCTGCAGGTTTTGGTACTACTTGTTATCTGATAAGGGAGAGACTGAAAATCAACGCTTAGCAAGCCTTGCTGAGTACAAGCTAAGTCTAATGCCTTTTAGCACAAAGATTAATATTGTAATTATTTTTAAAATTCCTTTAGTTGTATGTTATGTCCATTTTGTTAATAAAAGAATTATTTATTTAATTAATACGTTTAAAAAAACGGTTTAAAGTTTACGCGGATATATTAGTTAAACTTATTTGAAAATGATTTTAAGTAATATATCACGTTTTAAACCGTTACAGTGTTATATTTAAATGTGTACTACTCGCGTAAACTATAGACAGTATTTATTTATTACGATTGATTAGAGCTAAAAGTTTTTTAAAAGTCTAATCATGACTTGTATAAAACAACTGTAATTTGTCTGTAAGGGTAGAGTGTGTTTTTTTAAGTGATAAGGTATTGTATATTCTACTATGATTAATCAATTAAATTATACATAATATTATGAAATGTAGACTTTGACCAATATATTTAGCCTTTTAAACCGTTAAAAATGTACTATACATAAGTCCTACAGACGTAGTTTATGTAAGTAAGACACACAGATTTCGTTTTTAACTATAAAGGTACAAAGATATACTTTATAGATTTTCAAACAGAAATATTCTGAAAAGCGCAATCCCTCATTACTATTATTTTCATAAATAACACATCTAAACGTTGTCTTTCTGAGAAACGAACAAGTCCTCGTTAATTGTACAATAACACGCCATTAAATCATTGTCCCGCTCTTGCGGGCTGAACAAGTAGAATGTCAAAGGTATCATAATTAATTTGACAGCAGACTCTCAAGCTGAGAGGTTGTATCATTAAAGCTTTCCATCAATCAGGGAAAATGCTGACTGTACGCAATATAGACGCGAAGAAAAGGCTCTAAAAACTTCTTTGGGGAGAAAACGTTCGTTATTGAAGTAATTTTTTTATAACTGCTCACTTTTTAATTTTGCACTTGTGAGAATTTTTTTAAGTTACTGTAGTATACGTGAGCAGAACACATCGGTAATAATCATAAACGGTTTAAAACGCTAAATATATTAGTTGGACTTATGTACATTTAATTATAACTACAGCCTGACGTATCGGATGTTTTGCAGTCTCGGTCACGGGAGGACCACAGCTGCTGCATACTAATATATTACGCGTTTTAAACCGTGCTATGGAAATATGTACTATTTTAATTAAACTATAGACAATGAATATCTAATGAGTTGGCGAACAGTTTTGCAATAGCCGTAGTCCTCAGTACTTAAAATTTTATTTATTTACTACATGTACAGGGTACAGGGTAAATTGTAAATACTACTAACTAATACATTTCGATTTTTAAACCGTTAAAATTGTTTTATATTAATATATTAGGTTTGGAATGGAATATAATTACAGTAAAACCATCGGTCTATGTGATTAGTTCTAAATATACAAAAAGTAGAATCTTATTTTTTACTTTTTCTATGTTCATATATTTTTTTCAAGATACAACAAACATAGTAAGCTGTATATTATATCTATATGAGTACTAAAAACTATGTAGAGCTATTACGAAATTTGCCTAAAGAACGTAAAAGTCAAATACTGTCTATAGTTTACGCGAGTAGTACACATTTAAATAAAACACTTTAACGGTTTAAAACGCGATGTATTAGTTAAACTTGTTTGGATATGATTTTTAACTTCGGCCCGACGTTTCGGATGCTTTGCAGCAGCCGAGACCACGTGACCACGGCGAAGTTAAAAATCATTTCCAAATAAGTTTAACTAATATATCGCGTTTTAAACCGTTAAAGTGTTTTATTTAAACGTAAAAGTTACAACTGAAATGTTACTTTTCTAGCTGCAAATAGTTACAATAAGTGTAATAAAAACAGTTTACATCTTATAACTTTAACTACAAAATACTTACAAATAGATAAAACGTGTAAGTTTAAGCCTATTTTAAAATAGTTTGCTTACAATTATAAGTTACTAAAGACATGTCTAGAAACTTCTAACGCGAATTATGCAGAACAACAAGAGATTTCGCTAGTCATAGTTCGTCGTAGCTACAAACAAGCGATGCCAAAAAACTTTAAAATAAACCACAACGATGCTCATAAACATAGTTAAGATGTCGTTAAGGCGATGACTCTACAGAACAAAATAAGCTCCCTCCCCATTGTTTGCAAGTTTTCTCGGTGGCCTTTGAAAAATGATTATCGTCAAAGTTCCCTTCCCGTCATAAAATTTTAGGGGCCCGCGTTCTCTTAATGAAACCAGTTTGGAAGTTTTAGTTTGACCGCGGTTGAGTGAACTAAGCCTGTTTAAGGATCGCTCGTGTTTTTGTTGATAGATATTTGTTTACGGTTATATTTGTAGCGAACAAAATTATCAGTAATTTGTTAGATGAAAATTTCAATAAAAGTTATTTTTAGAGGGTAATATTGAAAAACACTTCTAAAAGGTTTAATATAAAAAAGCGATAACAGTATTAGTGACAAGCCTGTTTACTAGTATTTATTTTCGTATTAAAAAAGTTATTGTTTCAAATATCCTCGGAAATTTTTGCATTATTTTGACAATTTTCTACATTATTGTTACTAGTTGTTTTATTTCCGCTAATTACTGAAAAAAGTTCCGCATAAGTGTTAGCCGCAATTAGAAATAATCAATATTTAATTAAAATTGTATAAACTTGGACGAAAATATAATCAACTAATCCACCGAAACAAGTTAAAAAAAATAATGTTAACACTACATATTATACAATGATAATATTCTCTAAGAAAACGCAATTTCAGTTATTAATACGAGTGCCGTAGCTCGTGGCGACATCTGGGATTGTTTCCAAGTCACAAAATGAATTGTATCGCACCAATATTCGGCTTCTAACTTACAGCAGATATTTGACTTACAATAGCGGTATTATATTGTATCAATAACAAAAAGCCGTGTAGAATCGAAATATCCTAATATATTAGTTCTAGAGTGTAATAATTCCACTTTTAAGCATTTTCGCGTTTTCAGGCAATGTACTCAATAGCAATTTTTCAAAACCGATATACCGTGAAACGTATAGATGTTTCACCTAACTTCTGATATCAGTAAAACATGATTATTGTTTTTCAATGAAAAAGGTGAAAATTAGGTCTTTCAGAGTCCATAATTTCCTTATTATAACGTTTTGAAAAACTATTTTGTTTAAAAAATCGATTCCGTTTAAAATATTACCTGAAATGGATTTGTGCCGTCAATATAAAACTTTTTAACATTAGGATATTGTGTGTTATAATAAATTTAGTAAATGATAAAAATTAGAACTTTAACAGAGACAATAAGGAATAAATGAAATCTACTTGAAGGATTTATTTGTTTGAACGCACTAATTTTAAGGAACTGCTGGTTCAAATTGAAGCTTCGACCGATAGAAGCGAAGAAACAAGGGTAAATGTTGAAATCAGCAATATTAATGAAGTTGATGAGATTATTGGAAAAAATAATATGATGCACAAAAAACGGTTCCAAACGGACGAAGCCGCAAGAACACCTAACATGTAACAATATATATAATTTAAATAAAACACTTTAATGGTTTAAAACGCGATATATTACTGAAACTTATATGACTTTAACTAATATATCGCGTTTTAAACCGTTAAAGTGTTTTATTTAAATGTGTACTACTCGCGTAAACTATAGACAGTATTTAATATATATGATATTAACATTTAACACTGTTTTAAAGCGAAACCTAGATCCAATAAGACTGCCTGTATATAAATGTTGT